TCGTCTTCTTTGTGTATCTTCTGTAATCCGTAGGCTATTGGTGGTCGTGCATCCTTTTTTATGATTGAATTTCTCGTCCATGCGTCAATTTCCCCGTTCCTATGCATATCTTTCTGAATATCACTTAAGATTCCATTAATCTTCATAGTTGGGTCCTTGTTTATTATACGATATATAGTCCTGTTTCGTAGAATATATTCCATCTTCTCGGTATATTGTTTTTTGTCCATTATCACTGTAGCTCCTTTATCAGCCTGATGGACAAATAGTTCATTCGTTTCCAGGGTTTTGCCTATCTTGGCAAATCTGTTTCTGCATGTTGGCTCTTGATAGGTTAAGATCTTTTTAATTAGTTCTATCTCCATTTCCCGTTTTGTCTCCTTAGGAAACTTGTCGGAGATATTGATAACTTCCACCAGGATGTCTCCTAGAAGGCTTCTGTTATGCTGAATTTAAAAATTGAGTCCTTTTTACAGGAACGCTGTTGTTTCAGGATTGAGATGAAATGATGATAAGTTTACTACTTTCTTCCGATCGTCGTGCAGTAAGTGTTGTCACCTCGGAAAATACTTCAACTTGGCGTGCTGGATTTAACTTAGGCTGCCTTATAATCCAAATTTATCGTCACATCATCTTGGTCTTCATATCTTCGAATAGTTTTTAAAGTTTAGGAATGGTTTTTGCATCTACTATTCCTGTTACCGTTTATACATTAATTTAGACCAATGCAACCTTACTGCATGTAAATTTCACTTTTTAAAGTAAATCTTGTACTTTTACTTGTTCCTCTTCCTGCACTTGAGTGTAGTATTTCTGTTTCACTGTTTTTTCTTTCCTTGGTATATTCTTAACAAGATATATCCATTGTTTTTTAATTAAAATCACATATTTTCCTTTTCTGCGCCATCTAAAATACATAATTGTGGTTAGCTTTGCTGAAATATGCCTATATTTATACTTGTGAAGATCTATAAAGCCGGGTTCCATTGTACTCAATTAACTTGTTGAAGTTCAATATGATATGTATGACATTAAACTTTACGAGTTAATGTCCTTCACACATTCTGTGTAAACTAACATTTTCCTATTGTTAACAAGAACGGACACTGACGCTGCCTTTTTCTAGATCTATACAAGAAAATTCTAATTTTTGTTGAAATTCATCATCACCTCAAGTTAATCATTCACTAAAAAAACTAAATAGCCTACGGTGCTAGGTGATTTGATCACTAAGGGAGAATAATGTGTCCGAGAGACAGTTTTTAACGGATTAAATGGTCTTCTAATTGAAGAAGTTTTGTCAGACATAAATAAATCTGGTCATCATTTATAAGTGATTTATAATCTATATTAAACTACGCACGTATAATAAGAGCTAATCACTATCTCAAGGCATTACGATTTCACTGATAACTTGCTTAGCCAGATTTATTTTGATGCTTCATTCTTAGGCATATTTCCTGTTTCTCATTCCAGCTTTTATTATCACCTTTTGCGGTATCTGCCCTATAAAATTAAAACTTATAAATGCATCCAAAGTTATCCATCTCAACTTGGTGATTAATTATCCATTTTTCTCATCTTCAACTTCCGTCTTGATTCAGGACTTCCCACCAGCCCACACTTTGTGACATTGCTTGGAGCGCCTTATATGGGCGTACAACTGTTGGCTGGCCCCGCCGGGTTCGGAAAGTATCCAAACAAGCGTCTTCTTGGCAATCCTTCCTTTTCTTCCCCTTCTTCACCTTTTCCTTCTCCTTTTTCCCCTTTTTCCCCTTCTTCCCCTTCTTCCCCTTCTTCTTCATCTTCCTCCTCGGGCAAGATGGCACATTTGGGGCCCGTCTTTGGCCAGCTCAGATTCGCTGTACCAATTGACGCTTGCCAAACGATCCAGCCGCTAGGTCCTGCTGCTCGTCTTCCAACACCACTCAGCACCAGCACAGGCAGTGAATCCTCTTTAACTGGGCCTGATTCACTGGTTGCCGCCGATTTGCCTGACGCTTGGCTTACATGGTCCGAATGGGACACTAAATTGGCGGTTGAGCAAATGGTAGGCTTTGGGCCAATAAAAGGCAGCATTGTTGTGGTACGTCGTGGCGAATGTGTCTTCATACAGAAAGCAAGAAACCTAGAAGCAGTAAGTCCCTATCTTAACATTCTCCCAAAATTGGATCAATTTATTTCTATATTTTTTTGTCTAAAGTTAGACTTGATGAGCGTTTAATCTTATTTTTAATCTTTCTAGAATAAATTGCCTATTTACATTGCCTCTTATAAATTTAGCAAACGGATTTTGCGTTTAGGTAGCAACTATTTTTAATTTTTTACTTGAACTTTAATGATGCGCCAACTAAATCCAGCCCTCAAATTTATGCTATCTCACAGAATGATGTATGAGTTTCGCATGATGAACGAAATGAGTGGAGTCTTCTCTTTCCCAGTGATTTTATTAAATCTTGTTTTCTAAGCCAAAGGGCATTGAGATTTCTGCCTCATCTAACTCTCCTTATTAGTAGCGAAGCAGTCATTTGGGGATTAGTTATGTATTGAGGGACACAAATAGTTTTCAAAGAAAGTCTGGCATTTTCTTCAGATATGCATTTCTTTAGAGAGAAATCCGGCTGTTACACATTGGTGTGCTATTGAAATTATAAGGTTAGAAAATGCGTTGAATGTGAGGACTGGAAGCAGAAAGTTCACTATGAACTAGTGTGGAAGAAAATATTTGGCTGTCGTCCAAAAGAGCTTATTCATATTCTCAGCTTGGTAATTGTTTTAATCACCTTCAAAACATTTAGCAATTCTATCAAGCTCAGTAAGCAAACTGGACGCACGAGATTACATAATTCTAGTTATGCTTTTTCTTACGTTGTTATACCTTAATTACCCTAGACTGACAGATTGTTTGGTGATTTCGTGACTTTATTTATGTGTAGAGACTAATTCAGCCTCATTCATTACTTTTCTTGGGTCATCAAACCTTGATGAACCAGGACTGACGCTCCTCTCCTTTGTAAACACCAAGAGTTATTTTTTCGTGAGTACGTAGGTTTTCGACATTAAAATTAAATTTCACATAGCCTTGCTTTCCCAAAAGGTGTTATCCAGGATTGACTGCAATTTCGACCTCGCATTGGTCTTATCAACACTCCCAGCGGGAGTCAAACCATGATAGTGTAGCATATGAGCTTGACACGTTAACTACTTGGCCACATTGCCACGAGTGCCCTTAGGCCACAGGGCCGATGCGAATTTCAAGGAATGTCAGGCATTCTTCATATTACATTCTGTGTTTGGATTGTCGTTGAAACAAGCGTATATTTGTTATAGCAATAGACGATAATACTTTTTTTCGTGAGTGAGTTGATTTTCGAAACTCACTCATATCTGATCTACTGATATTCACGAAAGCCCAATCACTCACGAAAAAAGTAATGTTGTCGATTGCTATAGCAAATATATGTTTGCTTCATCGATAATCCCAACATAGAATGTGATATGAAAAATGCCAGACATTCCTTGAAACTCACATATGCCTTGTAATAAAATTAAAATCGTGACAATGTGGCGTAGAATTTAACGTGTCGAGCTTACACGATGCACTGTTATTATTCGACTCCAGCTGAGGGTGTTGATAAGACCTATGCGAGGTCGAAACTAGTCCACTCTGGATAAGCACACCTTTTTGAAAAGCAAGGCTATGTGAAATTCAATGGAAAACATCATGTCCACTTATATCACTGTGGGGAAATTCAACTACCAGTCCTTCATCACCTTAAACGAAATGGGGTGAAAACATCTAATAGTTATCGAAGGTATGAAGACCAAAATGATGTCGCCTTTTGTATGGTCGTATGGTTATGTCCTGTTTTGCGCACTTCGACTTGTGCCAGCGCAGATGGATTCTATATATTCGAAAATTTTATGAGAAAGCAAGCTTTTTGTAGACAAGATTAAGAGCTATTAAACCTTAATGTGACTTCTTTCTCTCGATTCATTCTGTGTAGCCCGATTATTGTACCCTGGATACCAAATTTGATCACGTTTTTATGCCTTAATTTAACCTTAGGCTGGGGCGCTTGGTGGCATCGTTATAGACTCCGACCCAACAACCTCTTCGGCCACTGTTCCTGTCTTCTCGATGTCTGGCGACGAGCAGTCACTAGGTCAACCTAATGGTGGCATCAACATTCCATTCGTTTTTCTTTTCTCAGCCGAAGGTCGCCAGTTGATCTCTAGTATGGCCACAACTTGGATACAGAAAGGTTTACCTGCACCTGCCGCCATCCAGCCAAATGACGAAAAATTCGGTCAGATTTTTTGTTGAAATTTTTGCTATTTAATTTGTGGTCTGGCCTCTTTTCGCAACTAGGTCGTGTTGTTTGGGCGATTTAGTTGGACGCGCCTTTCCCGAACTTTTCCGCTCTAGTAAGTATCAATTCCCAGCGTCGGACCATGGACGTAGTACATTCTCACACGTTTCGTCGGCATCGTAGTCATCATCGTCAGTAAGTATTTCCATTTTCAGCATCAAGCTATAATTCATCGCCCTGACAACACGGTCAAGTTGCGAAAACGAGGTTAGACCACATTTATATATCGAAAGGAGACTGCGACCAAAATAGAGGTCACAACATCTTGGTCTTCGTATCTACGTTTAAATTGCTTTGTTATTCAATGATTTCGACAAGATAAACTCCTCCTCTTCGCTTTTAGCATTAATTAACTCTCAAAGTAGTTACAACTTCTAGCATTTAATTAGGCCAAACCTTCTTATAAGAACTTAGTCACTTTAATGTATTTAAGGTGTTTCAAGGACTGATATTTTAGTTCTTCCACAATTCGCTGAGTCAAATTTAACTTAGCTTTGACTTGCAAAAGGCGGACCTTAGTTTTGACCTCGGCTAATTCACATTGACACTCACAACGGGTACCACTACCGAGTCGTGGGTATCGTCTTCTTAAACTGATGTTAACTTGACTTTTACAAAAGTAAGTTCTAGTTCTCATGATATCCATCATATGATGGACGAAAGCTTAACTTGATTTCACTCAAAACAAGGGAGTGTCTGGTGGACTGCATCAATTTAAACGTATTTAAACCAAATCGTTGCAGAACAATAAGAACCGGCCTTTGTCTTCAGGTGAGATCAAGCAACGAATCTCTTCATCATGCACTTTCATACTGAATGAACGTCTTTATAGCAATGCTTTTATTTAGTCTAAAAATCAATACACTGTTGATAATTTTGAATATTATTCATAATATGATATGTATTCGTCCTATTTTATTTAAGGTGATGGATTGGTAGCATAATTTTCCAGCAATGATATGAGTAGAGCTGATGCTTTCAATAAATTTCGCATAGCCTTGCCTTCCTAAAGAATGTAATATGAGAAAAGGCCTGTTCAGTTATAAGATTTGCTTCTACTTTTATTTCTAACTCGCTTTGCCTATGGTCAATATGTGCCCTTGTTATAATGGAATCTTTGATGCATTGATACATGTATTCTATGTATTTCAGCTAACAGTGATATGTTGAGATCTAGTGGAGTTGATTTGACAGTGACTTCAGGACCCGATTCCCCTGCAGGCGTACATACTTCTCCGAACTTATCTCTTCACAAAAATGAGTTTTTTAGTCAATTCATAACAAATGGTCTGGAAGATGGGGCAGTTCACACGTCAGTCGCTCACAAAAATCTGCATATGCATGAGACTTCGGAAGACAAGTCGATTGCGAATACTAATGTTTCCGATGCTCCTTGATTACTGAAGACTCTTTTCTACCCTCTTACTACACTAGCTTCCAATTAGAAGATCGTTAATTACTCACTTTTTGCTTGATAGGGGCTATTAAACGCTCTATGCCATTAA